CCACACTGCCTTATACTCAGTTGTGATTATTCTAAAAATTCAACAACAAACAACAAAAAAATCATGCAAATAAAAATCTAACTATATCTATCAGTTCTGCTGTTTTGTTCAGAAAGTCAGTGGGCCTATTTTCTTTATTTGTTTTTTGTTTTTTAACGACCTGTTTTAGATCAACATTACAGTTTACAATGAACACAATATACTGTAGTTAAATTTTACCTGAAAAAAAACTAAATATGTCTTCACATTCACTGGACAGGTTATTAATCTAGACTTAGACAAACTTTATTGATTCACAAGAGAAATTATCTGGACACAGTAGCTCACACATCACAATTTTATGATAGCAAAGAGCAAAACACATCAGATGTCAATGTGAAAAAATATATGTTGGATATCTATACAAATTTGGACAGGGCAGTGTCTTAGGAACAAAAGGATGCCACCTCTTTTAATGGATGTGGAAGTCATTTCAAATGGAAAAGTTGCACAGGTTGTCCAACTTCTCCAGGATAGCACATCCAGACGTGCCATTGCAAGAAGATTTAATGTGTCTCTCAGCACACTCTCCAGAACATGGAGGAGATTTCAGGAGACAGGTTGTTACTCTAGGAGAGCTGGACAGGGCCGCAGAAGGTCCTCACCTCATCAGCAGGACCCGTATCTACTCCTTTGTGGAAGAAGGAACAGGTTGAGCACTGCCTGTGCCCTGCAGAATTGTCTCCAGTAGGCCACTGGTGTGAATGTCTCTTCTCAAACAATCACAAACAGACTTCATGAGGGTGGCTTGAGGGTGCCATGTCCTGTAATGGGTCCTGTGCTCACCGCCCAGCTCAGTGGTGTTAGGTTGGCATTTGCAAGACGACACCAGAATTGGCAAGCCCTTTGCTTTTCACAGATGAGAGCAGGTTCATCCAGAGCATCTCTGATAAACATGAAAGAGTCTGGAGTTCTTTTCCTTTTGTTCTTAAGACATTGCCATGTCCATATTTGTATAGATATCCAACATATATTTTTTTCACATTAAGAGCTGATGTGTTTTCAAAGTGTTCCTTTAATTTTTTTGAACAGTATATACATGGATTCTAAAGTAACAAAAGTAACAAGAGACTGCATGGGCAAATATTCAGGAGCTACTGTGACTCTCTCAGGTGCTTAGGTCAGAATAAAGCTCAAGTCAAGTTTAAAACTCTCTCAGGAACTGTATCTAAGATTTTGATTTTACATTTTAAATGACAGCTTTTACTGATTCAAATCAGTTTCACTTTTCAGCTTTTACTGATAACAGCTGTGATGCTGATTTATTCTTAATCATAAAAACACTGGGCATGATGGCAGAGTTGTTTATTTTATCATTTGGTGATTCCAAGGTGATTATTCAATCAGAAAGCATGAGCCTCACACAAGTCTCTCATTTGGGCTGCCAGTTTCAGTCAAATGGTTTCAATGCTGAAATCCAGTTGGTTTAAACCTAAAAGGCCTCTCTCTGATCTGAATCGCTTCCTAAACCCTAGCACTCACAGCCAATCATTAACAAGTGCTAGTGCAGCCTCTGCAGCTCAAGGTCACTTCCTGAGTGACCCTGGAGGTTCTGAGATTTCACATGAGACATGGCCTGTCCAAATAATGAGAATGAGCAAAATGCCTATGTATCCTCTATGTACAGGTTAAGGCACTGGCAACGCAGATTCAGTTGTGATTGTAACTGTAATGTATTCTATATCATCTACTCACTGCCCTACATTAAATATCAGCAGGAATATGTTACACATGTAAATTGAATGAGGATCAAATAGCATTAAAGTGTCGCAAAACCTGTGAAAAAAAGATGGTGCTTTTGGCCTCACCTTCACAGAGATGTTGCAGATGTGACACAGCGTGACCACCTGCCGACTTAATCCAGACAGCTTTATTCATCCACAAATCTCATCATCACACCTCCTACAGCTCACCAGCTACGCCTGCATCAAATGTGTGCATCAGATCAGAGTATAACACAGACAGAACTGAAGTTAACATCATGTTGCTCACTAAAATATCAAAAAGGAAATTAAATCATGTAAGTACATGTTGCAAGTCCAGAAGTAAAAAATTTGGAAGAAGCTTTGTTTTACAATTGCATTAGCATCTGGATGTTTTCTCAAGCTGGCATTTGGCCATAGAGACCATTAGAGAAATATGTAGCCATACTCAGGAGGCCAATCACATGCTTCATATAATAAATAATACAATGATGAAGGCTAAAAAGGATTAAGTGATCCCAAAGACCTAACTTTACACAGGGACATTTGTTTTGACATTCAAGAGTAAGCTCAAGAACAAAGTTTCTTTATATAAGTGTGTAAAATCCCTCATCCAGGAGAAATTTTATTTGTCAACTGGACAAAAGTATATTTTGGTCAAATATTTTTGGCAGCTCATTCAAACTGCTTTTTCAATTCTGGTCAGAATGCTGGTGGACTCATATCTGCCTGCAGGGAGGAGTTAACTGCACTAACACTTGTTTACAGTTTCTGTTTGTTAGCTAGTCCTATTGAGCTGAACTAAGTGTGGGGTCATATTAGTATAATCATTCAGGCCACTGATGGGTTCATTCACACCTCTAGACCTGAGCTGGCTATCTCTATTGTTTTCTTTGTTTGTTTTGATAGTAAAAGGTTCCAAATCTTGAATTTTGATTTTAGAATAGATATCATCAACACAACAATACCAACATGTGGGTGGAGTGCTTGGATATGAGGTCAATGCACTCTGTTCAAATAGTTCCATAAGTTGGCAATAATAGTAATAACCTCATTGGCACCTCTGTATCATGTTTAAAGGTGCACTACATAACTTTTTTGTGTGGGGAATCTGCCACCAGCTTGTCTCCATGGAGATACTGTAGATATTATGGCTTTGCTCTGAATGTTCCACAGTATGGCATCAACTTCAGGCTGTCTCTCTACATATTTGACCTGTAATCTGGTAGTGTCACCTGCTTATCTGGAGATACATAAGTTTAAAGAATACTGTGGAACATTCCAGGCAAAACAATATCTATGGAGAAAAGCGGGTGGTGAACCAACCATCAGAAAAGTCACCCTCATTTTATGGAATAGATCAATGTTCCATAAATTTAACTGACTTGGCACTAGACTCTGGTTAGAAAATGTTTCTTTAAAACTACAGTAGTAGGGCTACATTATACTTCTGAGCTTATACTATAGCTCAAACAGTGCCTCCCTGCATGTTGATTTACACAAGCGGCTTGTCCTATCACCTAAATACCAGAGCAAATCATACTTTGCTGGACATAGTAGGATTTCTATGACACTGTTGTCTTCACCTTCTACATGTCTCTGAATTAAAACCATCTGACAAACATGCAGTTTTCGGTCAAATCACTGCCACCAGATGTTGCTACAGAGTAAATACAGAGTAAATTAGACCAGGCTGTTTGTCTATCTGGATTCAAACTTAAAGTAAGATGTGCAATAAGACATTTAACAACTCATTTTATGAACAATATAATTGACATCTGGCATAAAGTCTGCCTCTTGTTATGACTGACAAAAGCATGTCCCTCTTGTATTTGTTTTATGTGGTATTTCTCATCTAAATGAACACTGGTCTGAAGTGTGTCCTCAAACTTACGAACTTTGTGTGTCAAGACTGAACATGAACAATTCCCATTCCAAAACCTTCTGTGTCAAAATGTTTACTGTTAACATATCATATAGCACTGAATTCTTTAAACAATCTAGAAAGATTAACAAATTCATAAATGAATAAATAAATAAAACAAATTCATATTTGAAGGGATCACAATCCTTTACATATGTTTAAGGGACATTAATCATGGGCATCTCCACGCACCCCAGATTCCGTTTCGATATTTTATTTATGTTTTTCAAACTGTGGTAAAGGCTCCCTCAAGGTTAGAATGACCAAGGGGGTATGCAAAGAGAGTTATGAGGAAAAATGCCAAATTGCTATCTTGTGTTTATTTGATACAATTTTGCTATCCCGCAGATTAAATTATATCCTCCGATTTCTTTGTGTTTTGAGCTGCCTGTTCTTTCAGTTCATAATGAAAAATGTAAAATCACATGAGGATGGTGATTATTATTTTGATGAGCAGTTTTTATTACCAAAATCATGACCAAATATTGTGTCTGAAAAAAATAATAAGGTAAAGTACATATATGATAGGAAAATCATTGTTTAGACTTGTATTACATTTTCTGTGGAAAACAACTCCCATTCTTCTTCTTCGCCTGAGGGTAGTTTCCTGTTTTTAACCGGGGGTTGTAAATAGTAGAGAGAGCCACAAAAAGGAGGCGCACAGCTTTGTTTCCTCTTCTGAATTACAATACAGTCAGTGGTATGTGGGGAATGTTTGCTATAAAATATTACCCAATGTAACTTTGGAAGAAAGAAGAATTAATGCATTGTAGGCTAGTACAAACAGAAAAAAACTATACATGTCTATTTTTAAAAATATAATTATATATGATGTTATTGTTATGGATCAGAAACACTAAGCTCACAGTATTTCACAATGTGTAGTGTTTTGTCAAGCACAGACACACAAGACAGCAGTAAAACACCACAACTGAGACTCTGACGTATTCAGACTTTTTTTTTTTTTAAGAGGTTTGTGACCTCACATCATTCTTCCTGTCACTTCTGATGTCATAGTTTCATGTCCGGACTTGCTCTGGAGGGGGTCTATTCTTTATTTTTATGGAAAATATTCTGAAATGTGTCAAAACCCATTCCTCTGAAATACCTTAAAAATAAGTAAATAAATAAATAAATAAACAAAAACTAAAACAAAAAACCTTAACAATACTCCCTTCCTGATCCTTATTCTTGTTCTTTAGCGGTGACAGGAGAAATTTAGAGAATTCTTTTCATTGACCACACCAAACTGTAGTCATGTGATCACTTTTTCCAGTCCCTCCTTCTCCTAAATAAGGAAATACAAATGGGAGTGGGAGGGAAAAAAAAGGGAAAATCAGCAAATGTGGGTGTGGCTTGTGAGTGAAATAAGAGGACATGAAGGCGTATCTGTCTCTCTCTGCACAAACTAGTGAAGTCATATTTCACTGCCACTAGGTGCTGTTAGCTGCACTGCACACTTGGATCTCACCTGAAAGCAACTTCTACTGAAAGTAAGTCACCTCTTTTGTCTCTAGCTACAACTCTTTACTATTAAATGGCAGTTTTTTGAGGAGATTTAGTTATATATTCACTTGTTTTGAGAAAAAGTTTCATTTTGTTCGTTTAACCACACCCTCTCTTCTCTTCAAGCCTGGGTTAATACTTTGCCATTTCCTGCCATATTAAAATTCCTTTTGAATGAACTTCTAGCCTTCTTGCAAATCTTGCCTCTTATGTACCCCAGAGCTAAATAAATAAATAAGTAAATAAATAAATAAATAATAGGCCAGGAAAAGTGCTTTGTTACTGCTGGTTTTCATTATAGCAGTAAAACACAATATTTGTTCTCACTGGAGCTTATGTGAATATAAGTGTATTTACAGTGGAAGCCTGATAACTTCTAGGTTGTGCAATGTACTTTGGAGGAAGATTGTGAGAAGTTGGACATGATGTAATAGCTGGTAGATCTTTGGCAGAGGAAGCAACTGAATGACGCCCATCAATACTGAATAGAAGTGAAACAATCAAACCTCAACTGAGAAACATGGTGCAGGAACCAGCGTAAAATCCCTACAATAAATAAGCCTGCAGCTCAATAGTGTGTAAATGACAACTATCAAATGTTTACCTGCAAGACAAGTAAAAAGGCGGCAGATCGCATTTCTCCAACTTTTAATAGTGGCGGGGTCTCACTTACAGCTCATAGTTTAGCTTCTATATTATTGGCTCATGAGAATAGTTGTTGGTTATATTTCATTATACTAGATTAGACATGTTTGTTTAAGTTAAGTGCCCTCAATAACCCCAACAGAAATAAAGTTACCACAAGTAAAATGAGAGCAGCAAACTGTGTTAACATACTTCAAATTATGTAGAAGCTGTTCACAGATTATATGGTGAATAAACACAACAAAAGATTTGTTTGCTGGCTGCCTCTCGTATATGGCATGTGGTCTGTATCTATTGGGAGATAAATTTAAATTAATCTTCACATCAAAAGTTGCTGAGTTGAGATTACTGGTTGCTGTGGTCCTGAGGCATGTCTGAACAATACTGTGGATTCCATTTCATTGGGAAAGATTTGCATTTTGTTATTTACACAGACGATTTGGTTTAGAGCAAACTTGGCGGGATATCTCTCCTCTTACACAAAAGTGCACCACAGCAGACAATGAACAGTCTCCTAATGCTATTGGTCCATTAGACACAATGAGGATCTGTCAATGTATAACCACATTATGTAAGACATGGTTGGTCTTCCACATGGGACATCCTATAGGTGTGTCTCTGACCTGAGAACATTGTTATTACACATATTCTTGAGAAGACATGTACAGTACACAACATGTTTTAAACCTCCTCCTTTCCAAAACAAGCAAAGGTTTTATATGAGCGAGCGAGTTTGAACAAGAGAGAGGAGGAATCAGTTATCAGACCAGCATTTCAGTGCAATCTTTCCTTGAAGTTCTGTCCAGACTTCATTGAATTCTTAGAAATGTGTTGGACATTTGCAGTCCCAGTAGTTGTCCCATAAATTTCCCATGTTAGCCTGTTTAGGACTGTGTATTCATTTAGCTACTTTTGTCATGGTGGGAGGAAGGAAGTGACAACTGAATGAGCAAACAGGATGCAGGGAGTGGGCCAGCATTTAGGTCTACTTGAAGCACATACTACATTAATAAGTAACACACAACTTCCATAATTACTCAAACCCACCGGGCTGTTCTGCCAAAGACATCTCAACACTTTATAATATCTATGGTGAGAAATCATGATGGTAATTTCCAAATATATACAGATACAGACCACAGTGGATTTTCATGTCCAAGGCCGAAATGCAGTTGCTTGAATAAACACTGTATTGTTGGTCAAAATAATATTCACAGTTGTATTTGGCTGATCCCTGGTAAACATTCCCTCTGTGCAGCAGCAGCATGTCAAACAAAGGTCCAGCATATGGTCTAAGCCGTGAGGTGCAGGCCAAGATTGATAGAAAGTATGACACAGACCTGGAGGAGCGTTTGGTGGAGTGGATCATAGCTCAGTGCGGCAGCAGCGTGGAGCGACCTGCGGCGGGGAAAGCAGGTTTTCAGAACTGGCTCAAGGACGGCCGTGTGAGTGTGGGCTCATGGACCAAACTCTTCAGCAGATTCACAGTGTTTACAGAAGTTTTTCTCTTTCCTCAGGTGCTGTGTGAACTTATCAACAGTCTTTATGGAGCAAACAAGCCCATAAAGAGCATCAAGACCTCCTCTATGGCATTCAAACAAATGGAACAAATCTCCTTGTTCCTTGGAGCAGCAGAAAAATATGGAGTGACCAAAACTGACATGTTTCAGACTGTTGACCTTTTTGAAGGTAAAAATGGATAAAAAGATGCAGGGGTTTTAGTCTTTAGTTTCAGTTGAGTTAATCTGAGATTGTTGCTTGCTTTCAGGGAAGGACATGGCTGCAGTTCAGACGACCCTGATGGCTTTGGGCTGCTTGGCTGTCACAAAGGGTGATGGTAACTACCAAGGAGACATCAACTGGTTCCACAGGTTAGGATGGATGTATTGTTGCATGTATCACACTCATTTTCTTGTTGAAAAGTTGTGACTAAATGTGAAACTTGTGACTGTTGGTTTACAGGAAAGCCCAAGAGAACAAAAGGGAGTTTTCAGAGGAGCAGCTGCAGCAGGGCAAAAATGTCATTGGTCTTCAGATGGGCTCAAACACAGGCGCGTCTCAGGCCGGGATGACGGGCTACGGCCAGCCACGGCAGATCATCAACTGAAGCACAGACTCTTACCTCGCCTCGAATGTGACTAGACTGTTTGAGAGACTGGACCAAAACCAGGACCAAAAAGAACTGAACAAACTGGATTAGACTCATACATTCCTTTGTATTTTCTCCAAAGCTAACAGTATGTTTAGTTTAGTTTTCTAAACATTGTGTACGCCATAGCTCTCTGTTGTCTCTGTCTAGAAGAGATGGACCAATCACAGCAGAGCAGTTTACTAAATGGAGACAGTGAGCCAAACTCTTCTGAACAAAACTAATTTAGTGAAATATATAATATTCTAACTTTTGCAAATGAATTAAATGCCAAATGATCTGTACAAATTTACATGTACTGCAACAAGTGTTTAGAATTATATAAATCATCTGTAGATTATTTAAGTCTTAAGATTGCAGCCAATTTATACGCTTGGATTGCTCAAACATCATGGCATCTTTCATCATAGGGTTATTTCAAGTGTCAAATTGTTACACAGTCATTGGACTTGTCATTATTTGCCCAATCGACACAAGTGTTACAAGGACATTATGAAAATGATCACATAAAACTATTCTGAATTATTTATATAGCAATGAGAACATGCAAGTCTGAACATGAGAACCTGCACTGCCTTATTGAAAAACTGGTGTCCTCTCAGTGTTGCTTTGGGTGTACCTTGTAAAACAGCTGTTATGTGTTATAACATGAAGCTCTTTGTTATAGGCAAAATATGAGAACATAGATTTAAAGGAAATTCTGTCTCTAAAGTTTCAAACATGCTGCTGATTTTGTTAATAAAATAAAACTGGATCTAATGACATAAAAGCATTATTGACTAACTGCAGTAAAGCCTTCTGTAAGCCCAGTAATTCATACTGCAGGTGAAACTATAGTGTTTACTTTGCACCACGCTGATAATACACGACTAAACCAGTATGGATTAACACACTGCCCTGGAGAGAGGGATACTTAAGATCAAGTGAAATATGTAAGAGGACTAATCAGAAGGTCAGGAAAAAACAGTGAGCAATATGCAATACTAATGGGTGCCAGGTGGAGTGCTATACACGAGAGATATGGTATGAGAAGTGAAGCTGAAATAATTCTACTAGTAAAACAGGATATGAATAAAGCTGGTGTGACACTAAAGAATGCAGAGGACAGGATGCAATAGTCAGATCAGGTGATTTCCCTAAAATAAAAACTAGTGGTATTGATTTAACTTAATGGCTATTTATGCTACATTCTTGTTTGTCTTTTTGCCTAGTCTGATGAAGCAAAACAGCGAAAACAGTCACATGTAAAAAGTTGGTAAACACAGCGATTCAGTTTGAGCTGAGGTCAAAGGTCAAAATAGTGGCTAAATGTAGCTTCATAAAGACTTCCCTTTTCTTGTTTCTACTTGTCATGACCTACACTATAAACAAACTGCTTAAAGTTAGTCCTCACTTACAGCCCTATACATTCTGGGCATCCTAATTATTCATCACTTTTCACAACTCAATCAAAACCTCAAAAGTGGGGTTTTGCCATAACAATAAACAACTACTATGTTAATGTGCACTAATGATATCTGTATTGGGACAAGACTAATACATAAGAAAAAAAAATATGTATACAGGGCCTTTAACGAATAAGCTATGAGCACATGTGAAAGGGATTATTGCTCATCTTGTGATCTCATTTAACAATTGTCAACTCTTATCACTTAAAGATCATGCTCTTTCTGCCAGAAAGAACTTACTCATAATTTATTGAAGACTTCATTATTAAGACCCACATTGCATTGCAACATGATTGCAGCATTACTCTCTAGTGCAGATTTCCAAAATATGTTTATTATTTCAACACTAATATTTATTTTAAGACTCATGTGCAGAGGCACCATTTCACTCTCTCAGTTAAAGCTCAGACCACAATAATAGCTTTCAATAGCTTTCATTGGAAAGCTTTTTCTAAAATAAAACATGACAGGGACTTGGTGGTTGCATGATGAATATAATGTCTGACTTCTGTTTGTTCAATTGAAAATGTTTGATATAATTTTACTTGACTTGAAGATGAATATAGGCAAAACAGTAGCCTATTGTGTCATGCTAGTTACTACTGGTAGTAAGGTCGGCTGGAAATGTGGGTAAAATATGTTTTGGTTTTTTTTGTATTTGAAAGTTTTTATTTTTGCAACATGAACAGTAACAAAAGTCAAATAATATGGACAAAATCAGAAATGAAATGAAAATAAACTCCCGCCACTCATTTTTTAATTCTGAAATTAACTATGGATGTGGATCATTTCATATCGATCTTTTACTTTAAAAGAGCAGTATCATTTAGAGTGATTCCTTGATCGAGGTGTGCTTTACTTGTATTCCTTCAGTTAATGTCTGGAAAAGAACCAAACTGATTTGTAAATCACACCTGAGACTGTTACACAATGAAAATGTTACTGCCATGAATAGTGTGAGTGGTTATCTCTTCTGCATTTTTCAAGATGACTGCAGCGATCAATTCCCATATGTCCTCTCTATATGCAGTTAGAGTATTCCCCGGGCAATCCTTCAAAAGACATGCCTCTAATAGACGAATTGGTGAATCTAAATTGCTTATAATGAAGTAACATGAATGACAGTGACAGTGCTTTTTTCCCTTAAGGAAGCACCATCCATATGTGTGTGGGTATAAATGATAGCAGAGATAAAAGCTGCTACTGACAAATATAGAAAACCTGGATACTGGGGTATTTCACTGACAATATTACACAATATCCTATTTCTTAGCCTTATCTTAGATATGCAGAATAATATGTGGTCTTGATACATGAGGTGTTCTGTCATTTAAGGTTTCAGTTATAAAAATGGGGAAACCCTTGACACACCATTGAACTCACATGGTACATAAAGGGACATTGATGAGCTTGCTGAAACAGGCATGTGTTGGGTAACTATGTAAAAGTAAAATACAGAATAAAATGGAGGGAATAGTTTTGTTGCTATAGTGAAAGAATTAAGGGGCCTATAGGGGGCATGAAGTGAAGACTGTTGAGGCTGAACCAATCCTGCATTGAAAGTCAGTCAGGTAGATCTCTGGGTAAATGCTGCAGAGTGCACACTGGAAGAGCACTCACACAGAGCCCAGTTTAATCAATAGTCTTTAACACACTGAAGCAGCTGGATATTGAAAATGTGTTCTTGGAATTATGCCTTTTTAAAGGTTTCTTATAACTTATCGTATGCATTTGAAAAAGCATAGTTTATGCAGCAAAAATTTTAATGCAAAACTATTAGTTGAGAGAACAAAGAATGAAAATAAATCCAGAAAGTAAAGGAAGAAAATGGGTTGAGTTTATGTGAAAACATACACATACAAAAATTTGACCGTAGTTACATATATTATGTTAAATTCAGTAAAATTAATGTTTTATCTTAATTGAAACAATGTTGTATAATTTACAAAGAAATATTAAATTATTACTTATTAAAATATAATTTCATTTTTACAGGGTTTTTAAAAGTATTTTTATGAAGCTATTAAGATATCTTTTGCCTCTAATGTTTGTTTTTTCTTTTCTTTAATTTATTTATTGAATGTGCTCATGTAAATGCCAGAGCACAATGACAATGCAAACTGTTCTGTTGTTCTCTTCTGGGTCAATAGGTCAAGTGAGGTCTAAAACCAAATGACAGGATATAATCAGACAAAGACATTGCGCATAAGAGAGACATAGTGTGTCTTTGGCATTTAAATCCCTACACAGAAACCAAAAGAGGAACCACTGCTGCTGTATGTCATGAGTATGCCCGTCTATTTGTGCTTTGTATGGCACATGCTAATGTCAGCCCAAGGTCACAGGGCATCTCCATGAAAGGCCGCTGTCAACCACTACCCTAGTGAGAGGATGGAGAAATAAATAGGATAGGCTGACCCCGACCTGGGACCTGCTGAATTCGCTTTTGGACAGACAATTATCTAGAGGTACTGCTACACTGAAATCAATGGGTCAGAAGGAATTTCGATGAGCTGGTCAAGGGGGAGGACAACTGTAGTGGAGTCAAAGACTGTCAAATGTGAGGTCAAAAGAAAAGCCTCACTTCAGATAAAACAGCTCCTAATGCATCTCTAGGCTCATAGCATTTGCTCTGTTGCTGTGAGTGCTTGATTGTATTGGACTAGCCTGGGTGAGTGCACTTTGTGAAACACGCTGGCAGGAAATGTGGAGGATCGCAGGTGTCGTCATGTTCATTATAAATACAGCCCCCAGGATCAGTTAACACGTCGAGTCTCAATGCGAGGGACTGTGAGTAGGCCTATGAGTCATGGGTATGAATAAGCCAGGAGAAAGGTACTGCGCTGTGACAGCATGCGAGCGCCAGCCCCTTTTTTTCAGGAATTCAGTCATAAGGTCTTATAGCGCAGCATCACAAAACCTGCGGAATGAATAGAGAATTTAATAGGTCTCAAAATAGGAAGCAACCCTAAAAATGGACATATTGCTAATTATATTTTAATAATAATTTTGTTGAATGTTGTTTCTTTAATAGGCCTATTACTCTGAATATTGGGTTCACTGACAGAAAAATTAAAGCAAGTAAAGGAGCACGACTATAACTATATAACTGTAGGTGGAGGGTTTGCCACCTGCTTGTATCCATGGCATGTTATTGATTCACTGAAAATGTTCCACAGTATGACACTGAACAGACAAGCAGGGGACACAACCAGGCCAAATTACATGTCAGATCTGTGGAACCCTCATCAACGTAAAAATGCCTGTTTTACAAAGTATTTTTGAGCAATAAAAATACCAGTAAGCAAGCTACTTATATGTAATGCCATGCTGTTGAACATTCCAGACAAAGCAGTAACATTTCAAAGGAGACAAGCAGGTGACGGATCCTCCATCAAAAAAGTTACATGGCGCACCTTCTAAGATAAAGCCATTATTGAGATTGAGGTGCTTACCTCTAGTGGTCGTCCTGCACACTGCACCGTTCAATAGGCTATATAAATACTGTGTATAAGCCACACCACCATCTAAACACATCTGCAGTAGGGAATTAACGGTTTACTGCTGCTAGTTCAGGGGAATTTTTGATCATTCTCTTTCAAGAGCATATCCAACAGCTTATGCTTCTCATTTCCTGTGATATTATTACATAACTGAAGGTCAAGTTTATAAAGGCATGATGTTTGTTTCATAACAATGAAGCAGTGGCCAAATTAGAAGCAAATAACCCTTATGGATTTAGCTATAAGATAGATGCTCTAGTGTAATCTACATTTTTCAGGTGAATATAGCTGGATGTTAATATTTGTAGTATGTGAAAAGAAAAATTCCCAAATAAATGAATGAATAAATATATACATAAATAAAAAAGATTTCACAATGGCATTTTGCAAGGATATAAACAAAGCATGTATGTCTGTAGTCAACTGTATTTATTTTCCTCGTGTTCAGCAACTTGGGACTATGGGGACATGATAGAGCTTATAGTCCATTCAGAGTCCTTGGTCCTGTGGTGGGCTGCTTTCTTACAGTGTACAATATAAACCTCATTACAGCTTTGGCCCATGATGCATTGGGGCAATATCAAAGTGCATGTTGTGCCATTTATCACATTTGGCAGTGTATTTCCACAGACAATCATAGGTACATACACTATTTAAACAATGGGAGCCAAAAAATTAAGCAAAAAGGATTATCGGCCTATGCATTTGAATGTTTAAACTACAGGGCCGAGGTAACTTCCAATACATGCCTAGAATTATGTTTCACAATGCCTGTGTGTATTAAAAGATTTGAGGAAGCAAGAATTATTCTTTTCTGGTTTATATGAGTGGTGAAAAAGCCAGGCTTATATTCTTCATCTGCAAATAGGACAAAGCCTACACCAAATTCTGAATTTCAAATTTTGTAATCTAAATCACTAAAAAGTCCATGGATCCTTTGTTGTTCAAGATTAACCCCCAAAAATGAATTGGCAACTGAATATTATTATTATTTTACATAAAAAATTATGCCAACGGTTCAACTACATCAATCATTTGTAACAGAGAAACAGAGTCTAACTAAAATAAAACTCAAAGGATAATATCTGAGTCAGGTGCACAGGTTGTAATCCATTCCCTCCAGAAACAATTCTGATATAAGAAAGACTACAAAAGACAACATTCAACTGCCCTTGTGTTGCATAAGACTTAAATAGATGAGTCAAGCAAAGTCATTGTGAACTTTGGACTATACTGCAGTGCACACCCTGTTGGTTCACTGCATGTTTATAACGTCATTGTTTTTTTTAATCAGTGTACATTTGAACAGACTACTCCTGCAATATTTGTATGCCCAACTAACTTAAGATGGTAATTATGGAGCTGTGAGGAAGAACACCAAAGGGTAGGGAGAACGCAGGTGATGTTATTGGTGCAATATCTCCATCTGCTGTTAGGTGAAAATATCACACACTTTAGTCAGGACATTACTGTGAAGTCAATGTAAGTGAAGATTAAATAAGGAACAGTGTGTTTGTCTTGAACACCACAAACGCAGCAAGAAATAATATGTGATTTAAAAGATAACAACCAACTGGAAGACTACAGAAGTTAATGGTAAATCATTTATTACTGGAATTCTTCATAACAGACAGTTAAGCCACAAAGCAAACAACCAATTGGATCAATGTAAACTTTTCATAATTCACAGATGGACATACTGTGCACAATTGCCATTGGAACACATAAGGCACAGACACATACACTATAAACATAGCACACCTGGTGCAGAGACAGCAGTAGCTAGGGTTAAAGGAGCACTGTGTAACTTTTCTGGTGGGTGTCCACAATCTTCTACTCTTTATGGAGAGGTTATGGCTTTGCCTTAGTCTTAGCTTGTTGGAGTCATCTCCTCCATGGAAAGTCACTAGTTTTACAGTGAAATAATCCTGGTTGAAGCACTAACATCTCCATAGAGACAAGCAGCTGGTAAACCCTTCATCAAAAGAGTTACACCTGCACACATGATGAGGCTATTTTTTTTTCCTAATAAGAAGCTACAGTATAAGTTCACATACAAATGGCATCCTTAACATGACCTGTCATTTGGAGTAGTAACAATTTATATGGCCGTGTTCAGTAGTAACTGAACCTTCTCAATCAATGATTTTTCTTTATTTTTACAACTTTTACATTGTAGATACATAAGGAGGACTTAAATATATGAAGCAAGATGTATGGAAAAAGGTAAATACTTTTAAATTCCACAAAGTATCCACTCCTTGCTTTGTTAACAGTGCTGCAAACCCTTGGCTTTCTCTAAGCTTCATGATAAAGTCACCCAAAATAGTTTTCACTTTACAGCTGTGCCTGAGTATCAGGGTTCATTAGTGGAATTTCTTGTCTTCTTAATGGGGTTAGGACCATCCCTGAAAGCGTTATTTGACAAGTGTTATAATTAAAATTACATCAAGAAAGAAAATCAGCTAAGTAAAGAGAAATGAAACTCGACCATTACTTTATGAAATGAAGGTGAACCAGCCTGGAAAATTGCAAAAATATTTAAGATGTCCACAAGTGCAGTTGTTAAACCATCACGCGCTTCAAAGAAACTGACTCATGTGCAGACCAACGAGGACCACTAAGTGCTCTGCATCTCTGGTAACTCCTTCAAGACTATTGGAAACGATTTCAGGTGACTACTTCATGAAGCTTAATGAGAGAATGCCAAGAGTGTGATCAATGTGAAGGGTGGCTATTTTGAAGAATCTAAAATAAACTGATGTTATTTCACACTTTACTTCATATTCATAATTCCATATGTGTTCATTCATAGTTGTGATGTCTTTCGTAAGAAACTACAATTTAAAATAGTCATGATAATAAAGAAACACTAAATGAGAAGGTCTGTCTAAACTTTTGACTGGTAGTGTAAGTCAAGAAGAAAAGTCAGGCAGTATAGAAGGCTGACGGTCAACTAAAACACAAGGAGTGAACAAAAAGTAAGAAATTAAATTTAAGTGCTTTTACATGAAAATACTGTCATTTTAAGAAGAGAGGGAGAGAGACAATTGTCAGATTAAAGTTACTTGATGTGCACCAATAGTTTAGGACCTGAAAGGAAATATTATAATGTACGTCAACTTTGCGAGGGTTCATAAAGTAGTGTTAAAACCATTAACAACATGTTTTACTTATTTAGATTTGTTTGTGTTCTTAACTGGCAGTGTGTGGAAGACTTGTGCAAAGCTTTTTAAAGATGTGTAAATTCCCTAGTTTGTATTTATTGTGAGTATAAAAGGAACAGGTTAAGTATCTGTATTCAGAATTTATGGTAATTTTGTCTCTTGGCTGTAAACGCCATATTCTTCATGACCACAGTGTTTACCTAAGATATGTTGTGGTCTCTCTCCCTCTCCATGCTCATTCTCCACATATAAATATGATCCCACGCACCGCACTCACTTTTAAGGCATCCTCCTCTGAATGAGCCTTTCTGCAGGACTGTCTCAGGAGCACGCCCCCCCATCACACCCAGTTGGAGACCAGCATCTGGATGAATACATTTCTTAAACTTTACACCAATGAGGCCCTTCTCTCCTCTGGCGTCTCCTCTAAGATCTGCAGCAGAAGATCATTAAGAGGCTTGGCTATAACGCGATACCCTGACGATGTTAGATGGAGGAAGTCAAACATGTGCTGTATGCTGATGGTGCCATCAGAGTGGACCAGCTCTGCACTGACATCAAGGAATTGAGCCTGGGGTATTTGGAGTAGCAATGAGTGCAACAAACTATTGACAGTCGCATTCTTCTCCCTCAGCGGGTTTGGCCGTTCCCCTCGTGGCAGCAGGCCCTTGAAGATGACATAACAATATACTGTTACATCCACTATGACCTAATTGTCAAGCTAAACATGAACAAAGCAGTTAGCTATGTAATTATCCATTATATATATTAGTGCCGTCATGCGAATAAAAAAATTGAGAGATTAATTAATTATGATCTGTAATTAATTAATCTAATTAATCTCTTCTTAATCTCACCTAAAAATTGCTGAGAAAAGCCTTCAATTTGAGGTGTTTTCATTTAAATTCATTATTACATTATTGTGGCAGATCAAAAGACTGATATAGAACAAAAAAAAGTGACTTTATAAAGTCATTTATTGTTTAACAAACTTTAACAGATGCAGTCATTCCACAGTATCATCATTATTATTACAATTACTAATCTGCAGTGTTGGGAAGGTTACTTTTAAAATGTATTCCCCCACAGATTACAGATTACATATCCCAAAATGTAGTTTGTAACTTAATCCATTTAATTACTTAAAGTGAGTAACGTAATTTGAATACTTTGGATTACTTGATATTGTCATGCTTTTTAAAACTACATGAATGTAGCAACTGCTGCATCCTGCAAATGTTGTTCTTGTTTGTTCTCTTCAAATTGGTTGTTGAGCCCAAATCTCCATGAATAAGAAACTGTTTGCTGTAAAGTAGCAAAGACTAGGAAATCTGAACATAATAACTTTTGTCTACTTAAAGACAATAAAAAGTCCAGTCTTTCCTTAACCATATAAAAAATATTATTGATAGAGAAATGCTTTATATATGAGATCACTGGTTTTAGTCCTGGTTTAGACCTGCTTTAGTCCTACTTTAGTCCTAGTTAAATCCGCCAAGGAGGTTATGTTTTTGCCGGCGTTTGTCTGTTTGTTTGTTTGTTTGTCTGTTAGCAACATAACTCAAAAAGTTATGGACCGATTTTGATGAAATTTTCAGGATTTGTTGGAAATGTGAAAAGGAAGAACTGATTTCATTTTGGGGGTGATCCGGAAGAAATCCTGGATTCTGGATCACTTTGAAATTTTAGTTAACATTGTGGTAAATGGGGCCAAAAATTTTGTTTCTCAATATCTCGGTTAATTAATTATTGACCAAACCCCATGAAATTTGACTCAGGGATGGACAATGGGATCCTCTTTCATATTCCAAAGGCTGATCCGGATCTGATCCAGAAGACTGATTTTATCGCAATTTATATAAAAAATGGGGGTAGTCCTTGGCGGAGGTCTGCGCTCTCTGAGTGCTTTTCTAGTTTAGTCCTGGAATGGGTTAGTCCTGGTTTTAGTCCTGGTTTTAGTTCTGGTTTTAGTTCTGGTTTTAGTTCTGGTTTTAGTTCTGGTTTAGACCTGGTTTTAGTCCTGGTTTAGACCTGGTTTTAGTCCTGGTTTAGACCTGGTTTTAGTCCTGGTTTAGACCTGGTTTTAGTCCTGGTTTAGACCTGGTTTTAGTCCTGGTTTAGTCCTGGTTTAGACCTGATTTAGTCCTGGTTTTAGTCCTGGTTTTAGTCCTGGTTTTAGTCCTGGTTTAGTCCTGGTTTAGTCCTGGTTTAGTCCTGGTTTAGACCTGGTTTTAGTTCTGGTTTAGACCTGGTTTTAGTCCTGGCGGCGGGGGCCTCGGCGACCAGATCTCCGGACATGGAGACTAGCTCTGGGGACATGGAATGTCACCTCGCTGGGGGGGAAGGAGCCTGAGCTTGTGCGGGAGGTTGAGCGTTACCGACCTGATATAGTCGGCCTCACCTCCACGCACAGTTTGGGCTCTGGAACCCAACTCCTTGAGAGGGGCTGGACTCTCCATTTCTCTGGCGTTGGCCGCGGGGAGTGGCGGCGGGCTGGTGTGGGCCTGCTCATTGCCCTACAGCTCAGCCGCTGTGTGTTGGAGTTCACCCCGGTGAACGAGAGGGTCGCGTCCCTGCGCCTTCGGGTCGGGGACAGGTCTCTCACTGTGGTGTCGGCCTACGGGCCGAACAGCAGTGTTGAGTACCCGGCCTTCTTGGAGTCCTTGGGAGGGGTACTAGACAGTGCACTGACCGGGGACTCCGTTATTCTCCTGGGGGACTTCAACGCCCACGTGGGCAACGACAGTGACACTTGGAGAGGGGTGACTGGGAGGAACGGCCTCCCTGATCTGAACCCGAGTGGTGTTTTGTTATTGGACTTCTGTGCTAGTCATAGTTTGTCCATAACGAACACCATATTCGAGCACAAGGGTGTCCATAAGTGCATGTGGCACCAGGACACCCTAGGCCGGAGGTCGATGATCGACTTTGTAGTCGTGTCATCTGACCTCCGGCCGCGTGTCTTGGACACTCAGGTGAAGAGAGGGGCTGAGCTGTCAACTGATCACCACCTGGTTGTGAGTTGGGTTCGCTGGCGGAGGAGGAAGCCGGAAAGACCTGGCACGCCCAAGCGTGTAGTGAGGGTCTGCTGGGAACGTCTGGCGGACCACTCTGTCAGAGGGACTTTCAACTCGCACCTCCGGGAGGACTTCTCCCGGATTCTGGGGGAGGCCGGAGATATGGAGTCCGAGTGGGCTTCATTTTCGGCCTCTATTGTCAATGCAGCTGCTCGGAGCTGTGGGCGTAAGGTCTGTGGTGCCTGCCGCGGCGGCAACCCCAGAACCCGGTGGTGGACACCGGAAGTAAGGGATGCTGTCAAGCTGAAGAAGGAGTCCTATCGGGCCTTGCTGGCTCGGGGGACTCCTGAGGCAGCTGACGGGTACCGGCGGGCCAAGCGTACTGCAGCCCATGTGGTCGTGGAGGCAAAAACTCGGAGCTGGGAGGAGTTCGGGGAGGCCATGGAGAAGGACTATAGGACGGCCTCAAAGAGATTCTGGCAAACCGTCCGGCGCCTCAGGAGGGGAAAGCAGTTCTTCACCAACACTGTTTACAGTGCGGGGGGAGAGCTGCTGACCTCGACTGGGGACGTTGTCCGGCGGTGGAAGGAATACTTTGAGGATCTCCTCAATCCCACCGTCACGTCCTCCGAGGAGGAGGCCGAGGCTGGGGACTCGGAGGTGGACTCATCCATCACCCTGGCTGAAGTCACTGAGGTGGTTGGAAAGCTCCTTGGTGGCAAGGCTCCGAGGTTGGATGAGATCCGTCCTGAGTACCTTAAGTCTCTGGATGTTGTGGGGCTGTCTTGGCTGACACGCCTCTTCAACATCGCATGGCGGTCAGGGACAGTACCTCTGGACTGGCAAACCGGGGTGGTGGTCCCTCTGTATAAGAAGGGGGACCAGAGGGTGTGTTCCAACTATAGGGGGATCACACTTCTCAGCCTTCCTGGTAAGGTCTATGCCAGGGTACTGGAGAGGAGAATCCGGCCGATAGTCGAACCTCGGATTCAGGAAGAGCAGTGTGGTTTTCGTCCTGGCCGTGGAACACTGGACCAGCTCTACACTCTCCATCGGGTGCTCGAGGGTTCATGGGAGTTTGCCCAACCAGTCCACATGTGCTTTGTGGACTTGGAGAAAGCATTCGACCGTGTCCCTCGTGGTGTCCTGTGGGGGGTGCTCTGGGAGTATGGGGTCCGGGGCCCTTTGCTAAGGGCTGTCCGGTCCCTGTATGACCGGAGCAGGAGCTGTGTTCGCATTGCCGGCAGTAAGTCAGACCTGTTCCCGGTGCATGTTGGACTCCGCCAGGGCTGCCCTTTGTCACCGGTTCTGTTCATTGTATTTATGGACAGAATTTCTAGGCGCAGTCAGGGGCTGGAGGGGGTCCGGTTTGGGGACCACAGGATTTCATCTCTGCTGTTTACGGACGATGTTGTTCTGTTGGCTTCATCGAACCAGGACCTACAATGTGCACTGGGGCGGTTTGCAGCCGAGTGTGAAGCGGCTGGGATGAAGATCAGCTCTTCTAAGTCTGAGGCCATGGTTCTCGACCGGAAAGAGGTGGCTTGCCCTCTCCGGGTGGGTGGGGAGTCTTTGCCTCAAGTGGAGGAGTTCAAGTATCTCGGGGTCTTGTTCACGAGTGAGGGAAGGACGGAACGTGAGATTGACAGGCAGATCGGTGCAGCTTCGGCAGTGATGCGGTCGCTGTATCGGACCGTTGTGGTGAAGAGGGAGCTGAGTCGAAAGGCGAAGCTCTCGATTTACCGGTCAGTCTTCGTTCCTACTCTCACCTATGGTCATGAGCTCTGGCTAGTGACCGAAAGGACGAGATCGCGGATACAAGCGCTCGAAATGAGCTTCCTCCGCAGGGTGGCTGGGCGCTCCCTTAGAGATAGGGTGAGGAGCTCAGTCACATGGGAGGAGCTCGGAGTAGAGCCGCTGCTGCTCCACGTCAAGAGGAGCCAGTTGAGGTGGCTCCCCCCGGAGGAGCTGGAGGACGTGTCTGGGGTGAAGGAAGTCTGGGAGTCCCTGCTTAGGCTGCTGCCCCCGCGACCTGGCCCCGGATAAGCGGACGAAAATGGATGGATGGATGGATGAGATCACTGGTTTTAGTCCTGGTTTAGGCCTGCTTTAGCCCTACTTTAGTCCTAGTTTAGTCCTGGAATGGGTTAGTCCTGGTTTTATTCCTGGTGTTAGTTCTGGTTTAGTCCTGGTTTAGACCTGGTTTAGACCTGGTTTTAGTTCTGGTTTTAGTTCTGGTTTTAGTTCTGGTTTTAGTTCTGGTTTAGTCCTGGTTTAGTCCTGGTTTAGACCTGGGTTTAATTCTGGTTTAGTTCTGGTTTAGTCCTGGTTTAGTCCTGGTTTAGTCCTGGTTTAGTCCTGGTTTAGACCTGGTTTAGACCTGGTTTTAGTTCTGGTTGTAGTTCTGGTTTAGTCCTGGTTTAGTCCTGGTTTAGTCCTGGTTTAGTCCTGGTTTAGTCCTGGTTTAGACCTGGTTTAAGTTCTGGTTGTAGTTCTGGTTTAGTCCTGGTTTAGTCCTGGTTTAGTCCTGGTTTAGACCTGGTTTAGACCTGGTTTAGTCCTGGACTGGGTTAGTCCCGGTTTTAGTCTTGGTGTTAGTTCTGGTTTAGAGGCGTACAGGAAGAAGCGCGGTTTACGCAGCGTACGCGAGAAAATGTACGCGGCGCACGGGAGGACAGCGGTGTCCGCGCAGTAACTACGGAAGGAAACGTGGTCCTCGCGTTCTCGGGTTAATGACAATGATGAAGGTGTGTGTTTGTGTGTGTTTGTGTGCGTGTCCCCTCATGTGGCAGGTCACTATAGGACAGTAGTGCAGACATCATGAGCCTATGCAGGTTGTTTTCACCAGTGACATTTAAGTTGTAGGCGATTTTATATTTGTTATTTTCTTTTATATTTTACGTTGGGAGAAGAATTTCCAAGACACAAATGTGTTTTTACCTGTGCACTGCTGACTCTGTTCTACTGGCTCTTCGACCTCGTCCATTGTGCGACTGACGCCGTTAACATGACGTTTACATCGCTCTTACTGTGCGCATTTTGTGTGGGTTTCCGGCAATGAGTGGAATTACCGAAATAAAAAAATGTATAAATGTGTTTTTTTTGTGTGTGTTGTCCCAACAACACATAAAACAGATTTTATAATAAAGCAACTCGCATACAGAAACAGCAAAGTTAGAGATTAAAAATGAGATTAAAAAACATAACGCGCTAAATATGACTGTAATTAATTAATCGCAATTAACGCGATAATTTGACACCCCTTTATATATAGTACTGAATCTTACCAGAACAATTATCTTGGCCTTGGGTAGACGAGTTGCAAGAAACTGTGCAATTGCCATTACTCCTCCAGCAACTTGCTCTGCTGTGTGCTCATGATTGTTGGTTCCTACCCACAGCACAACCACCTGAACAAGATCAGACATCCATAATCAACTATAAAATGCAACTGCAGTCCAAAAACTATTCATTAACAGCAAAAACATTACATGAACACACAAAAAACTAACTTTAGGTCTTATGTTCTCCAACTCCCCATTCTGCACCCTCCACAGCACATTACAGGTGGTGTCCCCTCCAATGCCAAAGTTTAGAGCATGGAGAGGAGAGAACAACTCTCTCCATATCTGTGTACAAAAATCACCATTATGGTAAAGGTTTAGGTTTTGGTAAAGGATACAAGAGATAAAGTGGCAAATAACAGAAGGACAGTATACATTGGTGGGTAGTTGCCAGGCAAACACAAAGATTCATTACATACATAATATAAGAAAATTGTTCACTTACATCATATTGCTGCATTAGTTGAATCATTGAATCACCAATGAACAGCACATCTGGCTCTGCATCCTTACACTCCTGTACAAACCGTGTGTGCTGTACAGGAAAACAACAATCAATTCACTGCATTGTGCTCACCAATAACAATAAAATCTATATAACAAGGCAAGGTGTAAATCTGGCACCAGATCAAGGACATCACTGTGTGGAAAGTCGTCTTAATCTTGGCAATAGGATAATACTCATGAGCCTTACCAATAAGGACGTCTGTTGCACCATTTGAGTAAGCAGACTGTTACAGTTTATTAGCTTTACAGGATTAACGGAGCATTGACCTATAGTGAGGCTACTAAACAAGAGGTGGTAAACTTGATGTTCGCTGCCAGCATACATGAGGTTTTCGATTGGTGGAAGACGTCAACACCAATTAACATCAGATTTGTTACATTGTTAGTATTATTGTTAATGTGCACTGCATAAACCTTGTTTTAAAGTAATAATGTTAACCTACCTGTGAAATCCATCTCGCGTCTCCCTGTACATCCTCCACAGGCTTTGGCACTGCAGCTGGGTTCTCATCACCACTCATCCTAAAACAGACGCGACCATGTCTGATGAAGAAACATCTGAAGCAGTCAGATAACCAATACTGTCTTGGTGTTGGCCTACTCGGTTTTGCAAAACTTATTAACAGGCCTACAATGCATGCAGTGTAACCTAACCAATGTTATTTCAATTCAACTATTGAAAGTGTGACATTAGCCGGTTAGCTTGCATGCTCATCATTGCATCTCTAACAGCAAGCTAGCGTTAACGTTTAACACGCCCGTTTTTCGCACAATGCTTACTAAACAGCTAGACTGTATTATTTAGGTATAGAGTGTACCTGTGTGCCTGCTGCGCTGTCTTCACTTTTCTTTATTGTGTGTGTGTGTGTGTGTTTTTTTTAACAATAAATCTTTCGCAGCTGCCCCCTTTAGATGACAACAAAAGGTGTGTCAAGAAGCAGAGGATCGTGCTGCTTTCACGGCCATATCTGGCAGTTAGAATTTTTGAGACTATGAGGGCGGCGCTCGTAACGTTCACTCGACCTGCGTAAAACGTGGATCTGTGTGCAATTATTCCTGTGCTTTTAGTCGGATTCTGAGAACATACACAACTGTAACTAGGATCCAGAATTCCAATTTTTCTGATTTGAGCAAACGATTCTGGTGCGATGTTCCAGCGCAAGTTCCACTCGGATAGTTATATTTACGATTTATCTTGAAGTGGCATCATCAACGTCGGAGAGCGCGTAGAGTTTATTAGCCCCGAGTTTAGTCTGTCAGGTTATACTTCAGCCCAAAAACCTTTCCAGTAATCAGAGCAAAAGCAATCATCATAGATATCTTTTATAGAATAAACAAGCGTTTTTGGTATTTGTGTGAACACTGACAATAAAAACACAGGGCAAGCTAAACCAAAAAAAATATTGTAACGAATAAACGATATTACAATAAGGATTTCATATAGTGTAATTATTAATTAATGCAAAAGAATATTTTAAGTACTTGACAAATACTTTGCTTGACCCAAGTTTTGTTTGACTGTTGTAGGCTATTCAGTTAGGGAAGAAAAAAAAAAAGATGCACAGACTGAGTTATGGATTGATTGAATATGCATCTTTTACACGTCTTTTGGGAGTTAGGAGCATCATGGCCACTGCAAGTAAACTTTACCTCGGACAGTTTTGTACTAGTGTAGGATTGCAAACTGGGGTCAGCTCTAAATTCCCACAGCTGCTTCCACGTTTGTTTGAAATTTTTGTTCTGTGTTTTTATAACAGGTACAACTGTGAGAACTTAAGTAGGCTTCCTTTCAAACCGTACCGTAGTCCCTCACTGAATGAGGGATCAATTTTGTACAGTTTATATGTATTTTATGCTTAAATTTTCATCCATGTTTGTTAAATAATTAGCCTATTTGAAGTGTAGTCCATAAAAATGTAATACATTTAGTGGGCCTTCATCTCATGTACACCTGTACAAAAGTCAGTGTGTTCAGCCTACAGTCTTTATACAAAAAATATTCTAGAGTAGATGCCATACTTACCATTGTTAAAGAACAAGTGCAGACTTGATCAGAAAATAATGGCATATAGAAGTGGGGAATACTACTAATACAGTGAAAGTAGGTTTCGCTTGCTTAAAGGGCCCATATTTAACTATTTTCTTATCTATATTATAATGTTGTCTCATAAAACATACGTGGAGTTGTGTTTTGTTTCAGACATGTTTAACACACAAACTGCATATTTAGGCCAAGTTCCTCTCAAATGCTCATACACATCACAAGGACAAACGTTCTGTTCACACTTTCACTAGAATAATATGGGTAATTTCAGGTCTGGACTTCTCAATCTTTACTGAACAAAAGGTAGAAGGTAGCTGCTAATTTGAGAACTACTGTTTCATTACATCAACAGATGGAACAGATCATTTTGAGCTTTGGAGATATGACCAGACTAATAATAAAATTTTCATTGCATAGCTGCTATTATGTTTTAAAGAAAGGGATAGAAATGTGTGTGTTATATATAGCTCTAGGCCTTTAACAAAAGTGCACAACTTGTATAGGCCTAAATAATATGTCACCTACTTGCTACCAATTGGAGTCTATTACAAATGTACTAGTATAAACCACATAAAACTACATACACTACATAAAACGCATTCTTTTGCCACTAGATGGCATCACGCAGTGGTATTTCCCTATTAAGACTTGAACTGAACAGTCCCTGGATTGAGAGCCACTGCTCTAAAGTACACAGCAGACCCTTGTGTGTCTGTGACAGTAACATTAGACATACTGGAGCAGTGCTGCACTGTTCTGTCCCGGTACGAGGAGCAGGCAGGTGAACGGGTTATACGAGACTTAAGAGTCGTAGACACCGCCCATCTTTCAGTCAAAGGTGTGTGCGCACTTTGACTCACTTTTTCTCAACTGCAGAGGCATTTAACCCCTTAGCCTGTACAAGCCGCGGTGATATTTTGGTAGCCTGCATGAATACTGCTGGGTGTACCTCATGACGCAGTCGTAACTCCGCTCGTGATCAGCAGCATAAATGTTTTGTCCCGTGTTTCGGGTATGGTTGCTTCTGCTGGGAGGGTTCGCGCTGCCAGGTGAGTGAACGGCTTCCTGGAAACAGAGGCCAATTCTTTTCTACGAACACAACAAACATTCTCCTCTTGCCCTTTGCTCAAAGTGTGCCTTTAAAGTGGTATCGACAGTATCTCACAACAAGCACAGCATAGCATACTGCATAGCTGACTGACGAGGCTTTACCAGTCGACCTCTGACCGGGACACACATACTCAACTGAAAAGGCGAATGGCTGCTTCATGGATCTATTAAATATGCTTCTGTCTCTAATGAGACTCCATTTTCAAGCCTATAACCTATGTCTGTTCCGGAGGTCATTTTAGGTGGATTTTCACATGTGACAGGTAAAGCAGATTGATCTTGGCTCTTGTTTATTACTCTTAATACACTCATTGCAGTCTGCATAAAGTCGGCTACACATCACCTACGTATGGAAATGTTTTTGTCCACAGGCCTGATTTTTTTGTTTGTTAATGATAATACATGATCAAAGTGAGTGTTTAAAAGTAGCATAAGATGTGTGACATATGACATTGTGACATAAATAACCTAATGTCTAAATAACCTTGAACTATTCAGGTTTCTCTGACGAGTGACAAAACTGTCCCTAAGTTATTACAACAGAAAAACACGTAGGCCTAATTTTGGAGTGGGGTGAAGTAAGGTGAGTCATCATGTAATGGAGGAATGCATGAATATGTTTCTTTGTTTTTATGTTTCCCTTCTTTCTTTCGGTGGAGACTGGATTCTTGAATGCCCTGTTCTGGCTACAAGTACTGTGTTTGGCTGATAAGCAAACTCTGAAGAGATAACGTGGAGTGTCATTGGGTTGGGAGCAAAGTTGATTAGTGATTCCCAGGCTTATATATGGAAGGCAGATATTTGACTAAATTAAATTTGCACACTACAAATATACACCTGTTAAGTGCATAATAATAATTTTAATTGAACCTAAAAACTGAACACATTTTCTACAGGGGTTCAGCATGTTGGTTGCATTGAAATCATCACACCAGCAGAAGTGGAGGCAATCAATGGGACAGACGTGAAACTAAAGTGCACTTTCAGCTCCACCTCCCCAGTGTCACTGCAGACTGTCACAGTGTCCTGGAAATTCCGCCCAATGGTGACTGGACTAGAAGAATCAGTAAGTCAAATAAGCATATTTTGTGAAGATGACATTGTCATCACACTTTATTGCTGTTTAAGCTTCTCAAAATATTAAATTATTATTCGTTCACTCCCCATACTCTGTGGTAAGGTAAGAAGGGAAAAATCCACTGGTTGCAGTAGAGATTCAACCTTTGATGTTGATGAGTCGATGGGTGATTTCTCTACCACTAAAACACTATATTGACATCTTTCAAATAATATGCTTTCAAATAATAGTGTTTATCTAAGTAAATATCCTGAAAAGTGCTGAGTGTATAAATGTTATATTTGTATTACCATAGCCAGACAGAGATTTGTCACTCTTGCAGTTTTTCACATGACAAGGATAAGTGAGTAAGGCATTTATTTATTTCCTTGTGATCTGTATCAGGTGTTTTATTATGATCAGAAGCCCTTCCCTCCCGATCAAGGCCGTTTCAAAGGCCGTGCTATTTGGTCTGGGGACATCCTGAGGAAAGATGCCTCCATCACACTGCAGGAAGTGCTTCCAACCTTCAATGGCACCTATGTCTGCCAAGTCCATAACAAGCCTGATGTCCACGGCAACAACGGGGAGATCACCTTCCGAGTGGTGGATAAAGGTGTGGCCGCACAGTTCCTTCCTCTTCCATGACTAATACTTTGCAGTATAGTACAAGGGTGTTAACACTTCAGTCAGACACTGAGGAAAGAGGCTTACTTTTTACTGTAAATAATACTATAATTAAATTCTGACCACACAAAATTAAATCTTGTGGGGTCTGGCTCATCTGGCTCTACATATACTCCCCTTTTTAGAACCATAACTCTCCAGTTAGTGGGTTATCTGTTCTTTGAACCATTGCTACTTCAGAATGTGCATTTTTCACATGAAGATATGTTTCTCTACTGGTCATGTTCTTATGCATCATTGTTGTGTGTTTGGCCAGTGTCCCTCTCAGAGATCAGCATGCTGGCCTTAGCAGTGGGGGGTGGCATAGTTCTGATCCTGATCATTCTCAGCATCACTGTAACAGTGAAGATCTGCAGGAAAAGGAGAATGAACAGAGACATTGAGGTGCATGTTCCAGAGGAACGGTGGAAGGACCCCACAGTTTGGTGAGACCTGCAGCTGGAGTGGGTGCAGTCTGGAGCGGGTGCAGTCTGGAGCTGGGCAGGGTGAGCTCTGGTGCACAGGACTCTACTGAGAGGAACAAGGCTTGGGCCTTTCTATTTCCATTTGCTCTCCAATGTGGTACAATTTCTAAATATGACCATAGTCATAATCATTTTACATTTGTTTTTATTAACTTTTTACTTTTAAATTTCTTACTAATTTCTTTATACGTAAATGTTTGTTTTTACCTTTGTGTTGGAGATGTAAATGTGATTTTTATTATTTACTGAGCACAATTTATACAGCATAATCTGAATCTAATGAACCGCTTTTTAGCCAATTGTATAATTCAAAACTTTTTTGAAAATCTAATTGCTAAGCATAATGTAAAAATCTAATTGCTAAGCATAATTGATTGTGCTGTAATGAATTGTTTTTCTTTCACTAATTTCTAAAAAGGTACATTCAGACTTCAGCCAACTCACATATTTTCAGAATTTACTTTAAATCCTGCAAAATTTGAAAATGATAATATCTTGAAGCCTGAATGTAAAGTTTGGGAATATTCAGTAGTGTTGAAAAGGAGTGGACAGTTGCCTTCCTTTCTAACCTATAGACGTCATGATGGGTTCATTTCAATACGTTTGTCCTGAGAGATTTTCCATCTCACACACTGTGTATGTCTATGGTGCGTTAGCAAACCCGAGGAGGCCATTCATTTGACAAGAGTGTCAAAGAAGAAAAAGGCAGAGAGCTCAGATGATGAAGAGTCTGAGGAGAGCAGTGGAGACGATGATGATGAGGATGGAGATGAAGGGGAGGAGGATGACGATGATGACGATGATGATGACGACGATGACGACGATGACGACTAACCCCGTTTTTTGTTTTGTTTTTTGTTTTTCTTTTATTCATTCAAATGACCAATGTATATAGCAGTGTTTCTACTGGTGTCAGGGCTCAGATGATGAAACAAGTCTTTGGTTGAGGACTGAATGTCTTAAAGCCTTTTATGCAAAACCAATGTAGTATTTTTTTCTCATTTTATTAATTGTCTTGCATTGCTGGATATCAAAATATGCTGCCACTTTTTACAAGTACATGTATGTTTTGTACAATAGTACTATATATATTGTTTATAAGAGACTTATTCTGCAGCTTTGTGGAATTATTTTTAGAATAAATATGTTTTTGTTTACCTTTTGTGGCATTTTGTAAATGATGAACATTGGTGTATGCTCAGAGACTACCTGTCATCTTGTATCTTAGAGGGAGGATATGTAAAATTTGTAGTTCAGATTTCATGAACATATGTGTACCTAGCTAGCTACAAGTTAAACATGTTAACAATTAATGTAATTGTAACAATACTGTACCTAGTTGATGTTTTGGTTCTCAGGATGAGATGATTATCCTACCTACCTACTTGCCTACCTATCGAGGCCATTTTGGACATTAAAAACGCCTGTATTTAATAAATGCAAGATATAGGCTACGTCATTAATGCCATCTTGTGGAACATTCCAGTCAAAGCAATAACTTCTCAAAGGTGGCAGACAAGTTGCATAGAGCCCCTTTTGAGTAGGCCTATTTGTGCTTTAAATTTAAATAGCCACATTAAATGTATTATTAGGCTATTTTGATACACGTATCCCAATAAAAGCAAGGAAGTATACATCCATGATAACAACAGCCACACAAAGATATCAAACTAGGAGAAAATCTGCCCTCTAGTGGTAGTTTTACGGATATCACTGCTTTTACACTCGCAACATTAGACTCACTGTTTGGCTGGCTCATGTGAAAGGACGGGGCGTGTGTATACATGCATTTGGAACACAAAGCTATAACTATGACGGGTCAGGAGGAAAACACATCAAAAGAAATGTGCCTATACTTGTATAGTTTTGATCATGGATTAACATAAACGGTTTAAACGCACTTTGATTCTTTCTTCTTTTTCTGGTGGGGCAGCTCTTGTGTTGGCCCAGATAAGAGCTGAGTCTGTGTCCTTGGATCTTGCTGCAGTAGGAGCGGATGACACCTCTGTCAGCAGCAGCCATGTGGTTTAAACACTGCAGCAGTTGCAGGTAAAAGTGATTGATTTACACATAACTTAAGTAAGAGAGACGCCCATGGAGTAGTTTAAGACTTTCAATACTTCCAGTACAGTAAAATGCTGATGCTTTTTTTTTTGTTTTTGTTTTTGCAGTTCTGGAAGAGTTCCCACTGCTGCTGCATTGATACTAGAGTGGAGGGGCCAGGAGAGTGGAGCAGTGGTCCCAGAGCAGCAGGAAGCAACCAAGCCAATGCTTTCACTTTATCCACTCTGGGTATACAAAAATAGCAGCAGTTTTTTTGCTTCCATTTACACAAATATAAATCTATAAATAATAAATAAATAAATAATTCAATCAAATGATGACAATTTCTGAAAGCTAGGTTTCAGTCACTTGTTCACAGATTATGACTAAAATCTATGACTTGTGTATACTTCACGTCCTTTATAAATGTATCTTAAACTTGGACTGAATGCCACTTCTCACAGCTTTCTTGTTAACTTTCAAACCTTCCCTTAGACTACATTTATTAATAAAAAGGGACAGCAAATGGCAGTTATGTAGATTTTAATGGATGGAAATTGGCAGCAAAAAGTCATATAATACATGTCCATGGTACCAATATCATTGAAAAATGCAACTTAAGATAGCAATAAACTTCACTAATCAAGGGAAACTGCCGACACAAGGCACTATAGGCTGATGCTGTAATGGGAAAAGGAGCTGTCCCAGGGATAAAAATGATGCGTGTGCAGTCTTGACGCTGCATCAATAGAAGAACTCACACTATACTTTATAATAGACATGACAATTTATTCTATGAAGTAGGGTACTGAGTTGGACACATTCATTCAGTAGTACTTCTGAATAGTAAATGCACTGAAAAGAATAGAGCAGGGACTTAAAGTTATTGAGCCTATTAAGGATAGACACTTGAACCTGTCTATTGAATGAAATACACTAACTGAGAGTCAATGGTTTTATTGTTCTTATGAATGAATCCTTTTGTAACTCTGCATTGCATAGTCCCCAACAGGATCTGCACTGCAGAACTTTGTCTTGATCTTCATAGATAACATTGGCAAGAGTGCATGAGTCTGCATATGCACCCCATGCCAGCAGAACAACAGGGGGAGGGTGCTGCAAGTTAAAGCGAATGAATGGTCCAGGTAAGGAGGGGGGTGAGGAGAGGTGGCTCGCAGCCAGGAGAGAGGATGGGAAAAGTTGAGAGATGAGCCAAAGGGACGGACAGGGAACACGGAAACTTGATAGAGCTTTGTTTATAAGAATTCAAACTGCAGTGCTTTTTTTTCTGTACAGTTTTGATTTTCTTTGATGTTCAGTTTATTTTCGCTTCATTCCTTTAATTGACTCTGAGCCAGGCCAGAGCTGCAATGTGGCTGTCTCTGCAGTGAAAGTGCTGCCTGCTGGACTCTCCTTGAGTGAACCCTGACGGTGCACAGTGTGACTCCAGCGCTGTCCGATCCACTGCAGCCCTTTGACGTGACACTGCTGAAGAGGGGTATGTGTGAAAATATACTCTGAGACCTGTCCATGATGGTTTTTCCTAAACAGAAGAGCTCTGTTTGGCTTTTATATCATGTTTTTATTGTGACAGGCGGTTTACAAAAGGTACAACATTCGAAGCACGCATCTGAACAGTGCACAAGGGACATAAAGTTGTGCTAATAGTTCAACAGTAAGCATCTCGGACTGGATCCCACACCTGCTCTGGAGCTGGTCTGGTCTTGTTGCCATGGAAGTCCGGTGGAGTTGGGCTGAACCCCCAAGGCTTGGCTCTGCGCACATAGCAGTCAGCTTCATCCTCTCTTCTTTGTTTGGTAATGTATACCTTTTGCATGTCATACTTATTAAATGTGGATGTGTTTGAATAGTAAAAGGAAAATTGGCAAATTATCCATTCATAAAAATAAATAATTTACCACTATAGCGTTACAAGCAACATATCACATTATGCCAGTAATGAGAGTTTACTTTTATTGCAATTTGAACAAAAATTATTATTTTAGCTGAATTATCATTTCATTGGGTTACTTTCAGAGCACACACATAAAGTTGTCTAGAGATAAGAAATAGAGCCACTACCATTTTAGTAGTTTGAAATGACTACAGTGCTCAATGTAAACGCAGTGTTTATATAAGGCAGATATTTTGATGACCTTGACTGTTACACAAAATGAGCAGCTTTAATACAATAAACAAATTTCCAAATTCACCATATTGTTTTTGTCAGCAGTTTCTTATTTCTGATAGATTCAAGACATTGAAAGGATAACTTAAATTGATTTAATTAATCAACCAAATCCTAGGACTTCTCCACAGTGAGTTCCCACTGCCCTCTGCACTTCCTGGTGTATGGTTACAATATCACAGAAGATTTCACCTTGTACAATTCACAGAAATGTCATTGCTGTGACTTTGTCGTTTCATGTTACACATGGGGCCACATGAAGACGTCTTTAGAACATCTTCTATGCACAACATTCACTTCATATTTAAAGACTGAATGTAGATGTGTATGAAACACACACTATTATTTTGTCTGAGTCAAAAACTGAAGTTGTCGGTACATGACTGGATAGTTGTGACCACATCATTCTTATTATTTCCTTTAAATTAGGAGTGTGGTCTGTTCGGGCACTAGAGATGTCCGTGGGCAAAGTCCCTTTCCTGGAGGCAGTCAATGGCAGCACTGTCATGCTTCCATGTACATACTTCAGCTGCATCGGAATTAAAGACCTCTATTTCAACTGGCAGTTCAATGACAATGGCACCATGCAGAAGGTATATAATGATACCTAATAGATTATGAAACAGTTTTGAGCCTGGGCTTAGCACTGTTGTGTGTTGCAGGTGTGTGATTCGGTGATTCCCTCTGAAGGGGTGGAGCCTCACGTGACCATATATAGAGAAAGAGTGTCTTTTGTGGGAATGAACCATGAAAACAACGTATCCATCCTCTTATGGAACATTACCTTTGACGATGCCGGTCAGTACACCTGCTTCGGAATCAACCCAAAGGAGAAGGGAAAGAACCACAGTGCCATTTTTCATCTCATTGTGGTGGAAGAGTGTAAGTGGTCATACTTACAATATATAGACTCCATTTATTCATAGAGTCTATTCAGATGCTGGATTTGAAATATCACTAAATGGGCAGTTGTAAGGATCTGGATTTCAGTAGACCACGTATTAAGTCTAAGCATTTTCTGTAATAATACACGCAATAATTACACTTTCAGCCCTGATTGCTTAGCATTATTACAGTACTACACTAAAATACAATTTCACTTCAAATTTTTTTTGTTAGGGTTCCATAATTGTTTTGAAGCTAAATACATCATTGCTTTATTATAACTCTATTTTATTTTCCATTTTATTAATTTTATTATTTTACTATTTTTATTTTGATCCTCTGCTAAAAGACATAACCAGCTTGCCATTGCTGTTATTTTACTGCAGTGAGGGTAGTGGACAACACAGTGACCATCATCATTGCCTCCTGTGTCGGTGGAGCCATTGCGCTCTTAATGGGCTTCATGTTGATCAAGAACTTCACACTCTTTGTTCTGGCCAAACTTGAGGAGAAAAAGTGAGTTAATCAAATACAAAACAATTTCCTTCTGTTACATCAGAATATCATGCTTGTGCTTGACTGAAACTGATACTGGCTCAGATATCATATGTCATATACAGTTATACAGTAATTGATTTAATGAGGCATGATCATGTGCAGGGGGGACTGGCAATCTGTACATTCTGGAAAAGTCGAAAAGCCGAATGGGGGGCTCCAGTGGTGTCACTTTCAATGCTCCAGTGGTACACTGAAAGTGAAAGTTTTAAAGTGGGCCGAATGGTGGAAAAAGTCCAGGGCTGTTTTTTGGTCACAGTCCACCCCTAATCATGTATCTACTTGAACCTGTATATTTGTAGAGGAACTGATTTTCTTTTTTTCTTTCTTGCCGCAGTAAGGAGTGCCTTGTAACTTCATCAGGAATCGACAATACAGAAAATGGCCTCTCAGGATCCAAAGCTGACTCAAAGCCAACACCAAAAAAGAAATAAGAAAGTGCATGTATGTACTCTCATAAGCGCTGTCAACTTTGGACCTTTTTCGCATATTTATATAATGCTCACATGCAATGCAAAAACAGACAAAGCTGGGATCTGAAAAATGTGCCTGGCTCTGGCCTTTTGAAAACAAAATATGCATTTACAAGGTAGAAAAAATGCAAGTAATACCCATCGCAAATTTCACTTAGTCTCATAATTACTTTGATCCTTTGATATGTCCAGTGTATTTTCTCTCATTCATATGGGAGAACACATCACTTGTCCAAAGATACAACCAAGGCATTGACTCGTACATACAGATAAATGTACTCAAAGATATAATCATAATCTTAATCAAGTCTTTAGATAATAGCACTTACCCTGTATGCTACTTACACATTATCATAACTTCTAAAATAGTTTTGGTAACTGGGCTAAGCACTCACATATACTGAAGCACCTTAAAGTATATGTAGTATATGTAGTCAGCTTTACCTAAGTCCTTAGATAACCCTTTATCATTTACATTCTCTTAGTACTAATCACAAAATTTGAAACCAAATGTCTTCATTTTTTTGCTTAAAACACGAGTGCCTAACAATGTTTTGATGCTTCTTGCAAAGAACTCTTCATCTAATGTCTGAAACTGAACTACAATAGGTTTCAATACAGGAAAGCCAAAGTAGTTACTCACCGCTGTAATAAAAGAGGATGATGATGCTTTTAGGATTAATGTAATCTAACAGTGCATGTGCAGCTCCTCTGATTTAGTTTTTGAAACTCAAAAAGAGGGAAACTGGTGACATGAGTACTAATAGGGCTACTTAAGCTCCAGCTTTTCCTGCTTAACCCCTGATGATGTCATGGGGGAATAAAGCTACTCACCATCTACAGATATTTTATTCTTTGCCACAATATCACTGAATCCTTTTACTTAGCTAAGTGTCTCACATCCTGAGAGATGCATTTCTGATTAATTAAATAATTTGTACTGTCACCAGTACTTACAGTAAATAACTCAATAACGTGATGGGGCATCATCACAGAGCCATTGGTATAGGTTAGCTGTAAATCAGGAGAGTATACAGCCTGTGCCAAATGGTGACACTTTTGTGTGCTGTGAGCATCATGTTTGGACTGTACAATGCACACACTGGAAACACTGAAAGCAGATGTTGCACACCCAAGACTATGAATGTCTGTTATCATTACCTCTGGAGTGTGAGGGGGAGACAAACACTGTGTCTTTGGCAGACTTGAATGTTGGCTACATTTGCAGTATAGACCTCATGTAGGAAATCAAAGAGCATTTGTGGGCCTTCTCTTATAGATGACTGAAAATTATCCTGTTTATATTTGTGTCTCATGTCTTCCACCATTGAATTTGCTGAAGCAATACTGTATCAGGTGACACTTGAAATAATCAATATTGTATGTGTGTGTTGGGGTTTGATTGCTATAAGGAAGTAAAAACTCTTATAACAGATACAGATAAAGTGTTTGTAGTGCCCAAGTTGCTTTAAAAACTGGCCTCAATAATCTGATCTGACAAATTGTATTTAATTCAGATAGCACACAAAATCAGACTTTAGTACACACATTATTTATGCTATAACATTTGGTTTGACACAACAACAATCCAATCTATGCAAACATAATGATATGCTATGCCAATTCAAATGATCAGCAATACAATACATAGGAATACCTCCAAATTTGAACCAGTTATTTTGGTTGTAAGTTGTAGGCTCAGAGGTGGGTAGCCTAAGTAAGAGTACTGTTACTTCAAAATAATGGTACTTAAGTACAATCTACAAAGTTTTGAAAAATATGTAAAATCTGAAGGAATGATACAAGACAACAATTTAATATTGTCACAAAGTTTTTGTCACTAATACAATATAAAATATAGCTTTAATTCTGAAGTAAAAGTCAATGTAGAGCGTTTCAAAACTACTCCAATAAGTAAGATTTAAAGCAAGGTTTATTTACTGAAGTCATTGTACTTGAGTAAATGTAACTGAGTACACCCACCTCTGTGTAGGATGTCTGGTAAAAGTGGAACATCCATAGTGAAGCAAGAGTAGAATCCCTGTCAAGCTTGCAGTATGCGCTCTAAGTCATATACTGTTACTGCTTACATTATTGCAATAAAATAAATGAAAATGCTCTGTCTCGCTTGAAAAAGATGTTGCATTTTAGCCATCATCCATGCATAAGGGTTTCTTTGTAGGCAAATACTGAATAAAGTTTTATTTAAATCTATGGTGTTTCAGTGTCAAGTACGATTATTATAAATCTGTTGACACATCATTAACATAGCTTTTTATCCCTGACAGACCTTTATGTCTGTTTAGTCCTTCTGAGAATAACCACTCACTCAAATGTACCTCACTCAGTATCATGACAGATGAATTTTTGTTATAGTCTAGAAAAGTGTGACCGCAGCTCCCCTCACCTCTCACTTGAACTATGTGTGTAATAATACAGGGGTAGCTCCCTGTCCTCTTCCATTCTGACTTCCTTCTTTCTCCTCACCAGTTCCCTGTATCTGTTCTAGAATCACTCACTTCAGAAGACCCAGACTCTCAGACATGTAGTATTACAGGTTGACCTATGAAACTGTAAGAAGCATCCACTTAGTTGTTTCTGTACTGACAATTTGTGAACAAAAACTAACAAACAAAAGCAATGAGCAAACTCATAACTAAACATAACTCAATCACTTTTTGGCACTTTTGGTATGTAGTTTAAGCAGTGAAGTAAAAAAACAAAATCTATGTCCAGAGCTGTATTTTCCAAGATTTATTCCAGTTTTACAAGCAAACAACAAGGGTACATGATCAAGGTCTACTTGCTGCCTCTCCTGTTCACTGGCAAAACCATAGGCCCACACATGTGCACTCTGGTCTACCTGTACCACCCTCTTTTATCTCCTAGGTGCCCCATAGATTAAACCAACAATAACAATAACAAATTAGACTAAACAAATTAGCAAACATAATATTAACATGGCAAGCAAAAAAGGTATTATACAAATTAGGGCCTGACTGATATATATCGGTTGGTCGATATTATTGGTCGATATGGGCACCTGGAAACATATCGGCGATCGGCCGATATTGCCAAAAATCTTGCCGATATTATACCTCATTATAAATCTTAGACTCTCTAGATTATGTTAATTTTAGGGGATACATGTTAAAGGCCTACTTCTGCTGCCTCTCCATTCGACTGGTAAAAAATCATAGGCCCATCCAGGTGCACCCTGGTCTACATGTCCTACCCTCCTTTATCCTCTAGGTGACCCAGATTAAATCAAAAACAAAAAAGGTGCTAACGTAAATAATACCAACTTAGACTATGAAATTAACAAGAATAATATTAACATAGCAAAAATATATTATGCAAATTAACAAAACTGAATTAGTAAGATAATAAACAAACAAAAATAATAAACTAATTTTAGAATCAACAAAATAAGCAAATAGCTCCTACAGGTCGGGCCCTATTCTGACCAGTGAAAAATGAATCTTTGCCTCCATCTGAAGTCAAAAAGGACCCAAGAACTAAGAAGAAGAATGGAAAATCTTATATTAGAGATTATGCTCCAAAATATGGAATGAATGAAAGAATTGATCCAGACCCACCTTGCTGGAAGAGTTTACCTAAACTCTGTGTTTTGGGTTGAACTTCGACCTGTGCACATGGCCTCCCACTTGTCGAGACTAGTCTCGTAAACGAATGACAAAATGTAGGCTAAGTTGGGGAAAAAAAATGTTAACAAAGCTTTCTCACTTGAAACATGTTTATTAGTGGTATTACTTCACACAAAAAGTCCACTGAAATCTGACCACTGGAACTGTGTTTTTTTAAGGGGGAGAAGACCCTCAATTTTATGACAAATCCAATGGCTGCCAATCATAATCTCATACAACAAGAGGCTTTATGTTGAAACCAGTTGTCTTATAAACGTACTTGTTGTGCTGGTTTTTACTCATTTTAGATGCTCTTTCGTTTTCTATCACTTATGGTCAAATGTAAGGTCACATATGACCATAGGTCATATGTGACCTATATGTGACAGGTCTGATGTTCATGTATGAATATCAAGGTCAACATAAGCAACTGAAAAAAATGGCATTATTTTATAGAATATTTATTACTTTTTATTACTTAAAAAAAAAATCAAAATATGTCATTCTGCCACAGCAATACAATTTGTTGTTTGTTGGTTATGTGTAACACACTTTTACCCATCATGGAGACTGGAACAGTTTTTTAGATGAACTGGTCAGGGGTATTTATATCAGAATTTTGCTTCTGAATTCAGTTTGCCAGCATCTCTTTTCAGCAAAAACCTCGAAATGTAAACTGGAGACAAGGCAGAATTTAGCCATTATCTTTTGAAGCTTGATGCCATATGCATTGTGCCCAAGCTACCAACTACAGGTTTACAGTATGTTATTGATTGGGGGGTGGATTGCTTCATAAATTTGCATGACATAAACATTCCACCTATTCCCAGATATGTGAAATGTACATCCGACATGTGAGGCAAACTATTTAAATGCACTTGTCATTTTCAACGGTTATCACCAGTCTATCACCAGGGATGCAGTGCACTGCCGTAGGATGGGTAATGATGTTGGAGCTTCTGTTTCAGTTTCTTCAGAAATGCACCTTACCATGAGCAAGAAAGCTTCTCTTTTTTTTTGGAAACAAACTGTTTTCATGTGACTATGTTCATCAAAAGAAGACACTGAAAGCTAGAGTGAAGTGAGAAACTTCTACAAACAACAAATCCTGCTACAGGACATATCATCAGGTACAAGTATGGTGCAAAAATTATCTCCCACTTGTAGATTGGGGCTGGGCAGTGTCACCAAATGGTCTCACAACCAAAGAGTAGCAACTCTGATAATGATGGGGAAGAATGAGAGCAAGATGAGAACAAGTTAACTGTTGTATTAATTTGCCCATCATGAGTTTGTGTTGGCTTTGTTTCGAATCATGGTAGAAAGCCCATATAGTTTGACTTTGATTGAATTATATTAGCAGTAGCAGTGCCAAATAATATGTAATGTCATCAAAAAAAAAATACTTTAGCATGACTGATATGTTAAAACAAAGCAGATATGCAACTACTGTTCAGTTTAAGCATGGCATTTTAATTTAGAGTGTT